CTTCCTCCGCTTCGCGCCCCTTCTTTCTTTCCCTTTTTCTTTTCTCCCCCCTCTGTCTTGAGGAGGGAATAAAAACAATCGAATGATCGATAGACTTTCTTCAAATCCGATCGCATTCTTATATGACGTTATATCATAAATGCTTTATGATATAACATATCGATATAACATAACATTTATGATATAACATATCGATCATTCGAATCATATGAACTAAACTACCTTTGTTTATAAAGAAAAAAAAAAGGAATTGGAAATGTAAATGCTCTTTTCCTTCAAATATAATTTAATTATAAATAATGCTTATAAAGAATATACGCATGTATTTTCTAAAATACAATATATAAATATAGTAATATATTTTAAGCGTTTTAATATTATTTCTTATTGTATTTTAGAAAATATATGCGTGCAAACATACTGTATAAAATATTGAGTAAACATTATATTCCTGTAACTCGGAAAGTCAGCGCCTCTACATTCGATATAACGTATAATCACTTCTCAATCTGAAATGTATTGATCAAATAATTAATTTATTTGACTAATCAACGTTTTCTTATCTTGAGATTTTTTTTTTTATAAAATGCCTAAATTATTACGATTCATTTTTCCAGAGCGTTTTGCAGAGCACACAAACTAATAATTTCATTGAATCTAGATTGCGCTGTTGTGATTCTCTCGCATGTATTAATTAATGTTTTGACATATCTTACATAGTTTTTTCGTTACACAATTTATTCTGTGTAATACCTTTGCACAGCACATAATTTAATCATCTGTCGTATCTGAATCGCATTCCCGGAGTTACATTGAGTGTAATAATTTATATTAATGTGATGCAATCGGTTACAAATTTTTTTGACCGATGTCTCACGTGGTATTCACCAGCTGCTGATAGTTTTATACCCCATCTAGGAACCGAAGGAAATTATTTTTGCGCACAACAACAGGTGTAACTCATCAATAACATTTATGTTTTAACCTTGCATCGTTGAAATGTAGAATAAATGTTCAATTAAATATAAAATTGACTGTTAAATCATTCAAATCGTATTGCATAATCATAATTAGCCCAGGCCTTTTTTATTTGGGCTAGATGCTTCTAATGTCAGGGTCGTTTTTCAATAGCGATATTGTTTACAAAATGTCAA